CAGCAAAGCTGGCTGGGGAATCCTGGGAGTTGGAGTCCACACATCTTAAAGTGGCCAAGGTTGAGAAACACTGGTCTAATAGATCTCAGAGCAAAAAAACCAATCCTAACTTTGGCTTTGTGACCCCTTGTTTAGCCTAACAACCAAAACCATTCTTCTTCCTTGTTCTGGAACTCAGATCCCCACATTCCCCACACCCCAAAACCGCCTGCAGTGACATAATCTCACTTCCTAAGACAGATCAAAGAGCAAAAAATAAGAACTGTTCTTAGTAACTGGGTTCCTTCACACCTGGGATCGCCTTCCTCAGAGTCCCCTCCTTTCCCCAAAGCCCACTCCCTCATCGCCCGCCCTCCAGCCTTCTGAACGAGGCGTGCGGCTTCCTTTTCATTCAAACAACCCCGTGGTGGATAATTTGCTTTTAAGACAATGGTCCTCTGAAAGGATAAAAATGGGGGGGGGGACACCAGACAGGGGCGCTAGGACACCAAAAGTTCTGTGTTGAAGAGGGTTCAAAGGTTCCTCCCACCGGGCAGATCAGGAGAACCAAAGAAGTTGAGCTTCATCTCCAAAACATCGCAAGATCCAAAGCCAGGGGCGTAGGGACACCCAGTGGGAGTTTAGCTCCCTCTCTTTGAATGCTGTTCCAAAATTTTCCAAACATCTGGGGGAGAAGAGGGGAGGGAGCTACTCAGAAAAAAGGCTTTTGTTCTTAAATACGTAACCCATTCTTGGGTTCTCTTGCACGCTTTCATTGACAGTAAGATGGTGAATTTCACTGACATTGGGGCAAGAGGTCCATCGGGTTGGACGGGAGCCACGGCATTTGGGGAGGAAGACCCCAGCAGAGCCAGATCCAAGATCAGGCCTTGCCCGCCCCCCCGGCTGGGGAATTCTGGGAGTTGAAGTCCACACACCTTAAAGTGGCCAAGCTGGAGAAGCACTGATCTAGACATTCCAGTGGGCATTACGTGGTGATGCACAAGCCCGCCAACCCCCCCACGTTGCCTCTGCCTTGCCATTTCTAAGGTGACAGAAGAGGAAGGACTGATAAAACACACAGAGAATTGTCACATTAACCATATTAAATGCAAGTTAATGCCATTTTAGAAAGTCAAAACAAAAAATACATTTACATGAAGCCAACTTAGTTTCTATCCCAGGCATGCCCACTTCTTTGACTTGCGCAACCTTGACTTGCTGCTCTAAGGTAGCCGAGCATCATCAAGGGGAAGGGGAGAACTAGAGCCAACGCATGCAGTGCCAAGCGTGCGAACGGCAAACCAGTTCGTTTTTAATTTGACTTTTTAACTTGAGGGCAGAGGCTCTTTTTAAAAATCAAATCCAGAGCAGGGAAAAGGATGAATTACCCCTTTCCTGCCTTCTCTGCGATCCCTCACGATTCACATGGGGGCATTAATCCCCTCCCTTAAAAACAGCCGAAGGCGGCACTAGCATTGAACATCCCAACACCAAAGGTTCACACTCCTAACACTTTTAGGAAGCGGGCTCCGCTTTCGACAGGGGAGGGGACTCGTGCAAAGCAGCTAAGCAGAGGCACAGGGATCAAGTTGGGGATGCACTTTAAAACGTGGCGACAGAAGAGAGACGAGACAGATGTTCAGTTGTTTTGGGTACTGCCGTCAGCGCCGCTAAAACACAACCGCAGAGAATAGGCGTAGCTCAGGGTTGGTCTGCTGGGTTCTTGGCGTTCTCTGTGCCTGCTGGTTTCCCTGCAGACGTCCCACTGCCAGGCCGGATAACACCATCAGGGCCCAGCGTTGTTACTAGCCTGGTATCGAAACGTCTGCAGGGAACACCAAGAACCCAGTGGCTACAACGCATTTCGGCCCCTTCAACGAGGTGCACGTCCCAACTGTTATCAAGAAAACGAACCCAGGGGCTCACACCTCATGCCTCTGGGAAGAGTGACCGTGCAGCCTCTGGCAAGGACAGAGATGGCAACGTGGAGTAGCCGTTCACCTGTGGCAGTTCTCTGCGCCCTCAGCCCTGGCCAGCGCTGCTAATAAGGAAGGTCCAACAAGGAGGTGGCTGCACTAGAGTGGAAGGCAGACATTTGCTGCAGGGACGGATCCCACAACGAACCTTGGCCCGGACGATATTGGAAAGCCAACTCAATCCATGCAAAGGTGCCACAACCTGTCTTCCAAATGAGCAAGCATAAAGACAGCGTTGGGAGCCAGCTTTGAAAACAGGGGGCCGGCTTTCTGACCCAGGTTTCACTGCTCCAGCCTGCTATCTGTCACTACGAATGCAGAAGAGAACCCAAAACTTCTTGACACCGCAGATGCTAGGGAGGAGAGCGGCCTTGACGAAATTCGACTGGCCGTGCCCACGGATCGCACAGAAGGACACCGGGTGGCACCTGTTTCCGCACCACGCAAATCACAAGCAGCCAAAGCCCTTCTGACCGTTGCCTAATCAGCACCCGTCGCCCATTGAGACTGCTTGACGCTGGACCCCTCCGGGGCATAGCGGGCACGTACCATACCTGCTAGGGTATGAAAACACAAGAAATGGAGCTGGAAGCATTACTTGATTAACCAACTGTAGGGCATTCGTTGGAGACAGGGTTTTATCAGCTCTGGGCCCTGACAAGACGTCTCAGAACCAACAGCCTTCTTGGCAGGCAAGAAGCCACAGCCATCTGCCTTCAAACCAGGCTTTTAAACTACTTTGTCAACAATACACATGACGCCTTTTGTCCATACGTTTCTTTATCATAAATACCACCTGCACTGAGATAGAGGTCATATTAAAAAAAAAATCATCTTCTTATTAATAGTTGATTCATTCCTTCGGGCAGTTATTCAACCACTATCACTCCAGGACACTTAGTTAAGAAATCCATTCAAAGTGCACAGCCTGACTTATTTTTGTACATGGCCATCCAAACCATAGTCCCAGTCAGTTCAATAAAAACCTATCCCCCAGGAACTACTGTTTTGTCTCAACAGAAGAAAAGAGTGGGAAAAAACTTAAAAACGCTCTGCTGATGGGCGGACACCCAGCCTGATCAGTTCTCTGAAAAACAGGGAGGAGGGGGGAAAAAAGATGCAAAAACGCAGACTTCAGATGAACATCCTTGGTATCTCTCGGATTGCCTGTCGCTTTCAATGCTTGTTCTCTCCAGGATCTGAGAGAGGCAGTTATTTCAGGGTGACAGAGTGTTCCTTATGTCACTGCTCTAGGCAAACTCCGCAGAAAAGGCTTCTGCATTTCTGCCTCTGGGCCTGTTTAAGAGGGACGCGGTGGGAGGGGACGCTGCGTTATGCCAGCAATTGACATTAGCTTCCAGGTAAGCTTTTAAGAGGCGCTTCCCAAGTCAGCAAGCACTGCTCAGCCTTCACGGGGAGGAACTGGCAGGCTGTTCCAAAGTCCATTAAACCCAAGAAAGATGGATTTGTCTCTTTGGACATCCAACCTCGCCTCGACCCCAGGAAACGGACGTCTTTTACAGAGCAGGCAGGAGAAACAAAACAGCAGAACCCGGTCCCGTTTCCAGGCTAAGTATGGCTAACCAAGAGCCAGCTCAAAAAGGAGGCTGGACGGTCCAGCGGTGCCAAACATCCGACAGCAAGGTTCCCCGTGCACCTTGCTGGCTGGGGAATTCTGGGAGTTGAAGCCCACACATCTTAAAGTGGCCAAGGCTGAGAATCACTGCTCTAGGCAGATTGCTAGACTACGATTTCTGTTAATCACTGTGAAAATCAGAGCAGGAATAGTCCACCTCGCAGGACTGTTGTGAAGATGATCCATAGGGAAACCGTGATCCAATAAAGGAACAAACCCTGCCATTACAATTAAATTATCTAGGTTAAACACATTGCCTGACACACTAAACTTGCAGCCTGGATTAACAAAACCCAGCGACACGCTGACAGAACCTGCCGTGCCCGAACAAATCAACCCATGTTGGCATAATGGGACGGCCCGGCTCACCCCGCACACTAAGGTTCCTGCCACCTGCTGAACGGCTCAGTCACACCTTAGCTCGGTCCCACACATGGCGCAGCCCCGGCCGCCACTGAGTTCAAGGAAGGGTTGCCCAGCCCTGCCCCGGTTTCATGCCGTCTCCATGCCGAAGCAAGATACCCGCTTTGCAGCGTGACAGCGACCAGGTGCCGGACCCCAGGCTGCAGAAAAACCTACCAGCCTTCCTGCTCAGCTAGGGGCACATGAAAGAGGCCAGGTCCGAACTGACACTCGCCCAGCCCTGCCCTGCCCTGCCCGCCCAGCCTCTGCCGCTTGCCACCACGGGTCCCAGCCCTCTCCTCGGATCAACCTGTGACCTGCCCACAGCCCGCCATCAGTTTCGCCAAATATTCAAGGAAGTGACACTGCTGAGAAACTATTAACCGCTGACGCCAGTCCCATTGTTTGCCCGACCCGCAGGGGGAGAAGAAAAGGCCCGCAGGAAGTAAACATCTGGCTCGCGAATGCAAAGGGAAGGAAGCCTCTGCATCAGGAAAGGCAGCATCAGGAGCACCGCCTCAAGTGCCTGAAAAACTTTCTCACCGGAGATGGCTTCTTCCTGCTGGCTCTTCTCCCCCCTCCCCTTAATCAAGGGTTTGCAAGGCGTCTGACGCCTGGAGGTTGCAGCCCGAAGCAGGGATTGACCCGTAAGCCCGGCTTGACCTCCCGGGA